CCCTCATTGCAGTCATCGCCCCTCATTGCAGTCATCGCCCCTCATTGCAGTCATCGCAAGCCCGCCCCTCATTGCAGTCATCGCAAGCCCGCCCCTCATTGCAGTCATCGCAAGTACGATCTGCCTGTCCAAGATGGGCAGATCGTATGTGTTTTTTTAAGTACTTTAAAGTGAATGGGCACCTTAATTGTGCTGAAGTACAATAGTAGACGTAAAGGCTGTAAATACATTGGCAGGTTAAATAATAATCATACTGTACTGCGTATTCAACTGTTCACCTGGCGTTCCACTTTGAGAAAACTATGCTAAGATACATGCTGGGTAGAATCAACAGTTGGGGCGAGTAACATCCTGCACTCCAGACCAGGGGTCGCCCTGCAGTTGTGGCAAAGCTACAAATCCTTTCTTGCCTCTAAGAGTCCTGCCTGTGGCTGTCAGTCTTGCACTGCCTCATGGGACTTGTAGTTCCACAACAACTTAGGGCTGAAGTTTGGACACCTCTGCTCCAGACCATCGTCAAACAAATTTTAGCCTTCCACAATAAACATTATAAATACATGCCTGTTGTTTCTGGTAAGCAGTGTTGGGATTGATTTTAGATTCCAGAAAAAAAGAGCCTGTGAATAAAAAAAAAAAGGAGCAACAGATTACCATTTTGGAGGGAATTCACTTAGAAAATACTGCAAGCGAGAAATAAATGACCCTTAAAGTTAATTGTAAAGGGAAATGGCTGAAAATGATGACTATCGATTTTGAAAATAATCGTTAGCTGCAGCTCTAGTTCATACTGCGCCCCGTTTATCAACGTGAAAATATATAAGAACCACCAGAGTAACACAGGCAGAGGTCTCCCTGAGAATGACTGGAAGGAAAGCATCTGCCCGTCCTGTAGCACCCGGACCCGCTACGGTTTCAAGTGCAACTTGCACAAAACGATTATTCCCCTTCTCTCTTCTCCCTGAAATGGGAGAAGAGAAGGTATGGATGAGCCCCTTCACATTGAGATCTTCCTTCAACTAGGAAGAGAGCCACGCGGCAGGGCAGATATTCTACTTCAAACCATGACACATAGGGCCAATGGATCAAGGCAGGACAGAGCTGCTTTTAGCTACCTCTAGGGAGCTGGAACACAAGCAACAGTATAGAGCAGCCTTTTTTCAACCTTTTAACCCCAGTGGAACCCCTAAAATAATTTTCAGGGCCCTTACCAAAACCAATTAATTGGGTCAGTTGGAAAAAATGGTGACCAGTAGGAAATATGCAACCAAAACAGCAGGACTGGACAAATCCCAGCAGCCAGGTAGCCAATGCTCCTTAAAAATTACACATTTATGAGGTTTTCTAGACTTGTTAATGAAGTTGGCTCCAAAATAAATCCTGCTGGTTCCTGGATTCCAAATTAATTTGTCCCCCTTTGTCTTATAGTAATGAGCAGAAAGCAACCCTTGCAGACAGCTAACAAGATAATAGGTGTCATGCTGCTTGTTTTGCCAGGTGATGTTGGCAATGCAACTATGGAGGGCAACACCGGATGGGGAGGTCAACCAGCCACAGATCAAGGATCCTGCATCAACCTCTGAAGGAACAACAGGGCAGCGTTTCTCAACCTTTATTCAGTCACGGCACCCTTTAAAAGTAAACAAAAATTCTAGAGGTAGCCCAGATGGAAAAAATAAATAAATAAAAAAATAAAAAAGCGGCAGATGGTCCCTCCAAAATCCATACCAAACCCTTATACTAGATATGTGTCTGGTATGGATTTTAAGGAGGGAAAACCCCGAGACACAAAAAGTGGGATTCCACCCTTCACATCAGAGTCCCCTTCGTTTACATCAGGAGCATGACTGTGTGTGAAAATTTGAGGCACTCTGGAGGAAGGAACCCCAGGGTACCAAGGCACGCTGGCTGAGCATGGCTGGTATAGTGTCCCTCATAACATTTCCCAACACTCCAAACTTCATGAGAAAAGTGACAGCTGCCATCTAGGTCATTGGTTCTCAACCTGTGGGTCGTGACCCAAAAGTGGATCACAACCCAGTGTTGAGGGGGTCACCACATGCTTTGTGCTGCGCTAGGCAAGAGGCTCCTCAGCCACCTCCTAGAGCAGCAGTGTCAGCTCTCCGGCCGCACCGCTAGATGGCGCTGCAGCACCGGCAGCAGAGGAGGATCAAAGAGAGGGGAGCGGGTGGGAGTAAGGGGAGTTGAATGCCGGCTTGACCACCAAAGAGCCCACACTGCCCACCAGAGAGCCCCCACTGGCCACCAGAGAGCCCCATTGAGCTCACGTGAGCCCACACTGGCCGCCTGAGAGCCCACACAAGTACTAGTATTGGTGCATTCCTAAATTTTACCATTGGGGGTCACCACAACCTGGCAAATGTTACCAGGGGGTCCCAGCCCTGGAAAGGTTGAGAACCATTGGGTGGCCGATAAAAGACAAAGCAACTTCTCCTTACCCTAGCATTTGTAAATGGACAATTGCTGTCAAAGCAATATAATTATTAATAAATGGAGAGACACTCATTGGCCAGTACAGTACATATTTTACCTGATTCCTAAAACAAGCCACAATGAAGAATTACTTTTAAAAAAGGTGATTCTGGTGATTTTATGGCGAGAGTCGTGCCACCGTATTAACCCTTCTATAGATTTTTTATGGCATCATCGTTATGTTACAAATGGTTAAACGTCCTTATAATGTGCCGACAGCTGGCCGCAATATGCAGTAAAGATTACTCTAAAATAAGTTGCAGATAAAAGAGGCTGTGATGTCACGGCATAATGTATGGTTTACCAAGAAACCAACATCATCCACGCATCACTGGAAAGGAGCCATGTTACCGCAAGGTACATGGGCTCCTGGCTCAGAGTAACCCTTCCCCACCGATACAACGCTGTGCAAAGTGACCGAGCCGGAACGGCACAACCTAACGGATGTACAGCCATTAGGCACCAACGAAAATCCAAACCTATCTTTCAGAAGAGGAGTGTGATAATACCGAGAGGTTGTCGCCATGACAACGGAATATAAAAATCTGTCCATGGTATTGTTATTACAATCGTCAAACTCCAAATTGCTACACTTTACCGGTGCTACAAAAACGGAATTTCCTGGCAACACAATTAACGAATTTCCCTAAATATATTTGTCAATGGATTTTTACAAAAAAAAGTATTTCACAAATTTACTCTACACATCAAACAATCTAAAATTAGTATCAGGGAAACCACAGTTGGGTGGACTGATGTATTTCTCAAGAAATATAAGGCCTGGTTCACACCTGGGTGTTTGGTAGCGCGTTCGAACGCTCTGCAAAACGCTCAAACACCGAAATCCCATTATTTCCTATGGGCATGGTTCACACCTGGGCGTATTACAGGCCGTATGAACGCGCTACAAAAACGCCCTACGCCCAAAGAAGTACAGGAGCTTCTTTGGGGCGTTTTGTCTCGCGTTTCCTTTGGGATACAGCCAAGTAGCCCTCGGAAGCAAGCGCTTGGCGCGCAGTTTTTTTTACCGCGAATCCGCGGTAAAAACACGCGTCGCGAAAAGCGCGACGAATGCACATATTCGATATGCCTAGGTGTGAACCCAGCCTAAGGTCTCGTTCACACCTAGGCGTATTGCATATGTGCGACCGTCGCGCGGTTTTTTTAACCGCGATTCGCTGTAAAAAAGTCGTGCGACCGTTTCACGTTTCCGAAGGCTACTTGGCTGTATCCCAATGGAAACGCGCAACAAAACGGCCCAAAGTAGTACATGTACCTTTTCAGGCGTGGGCCGTTTTGTAGCGCGTTAGGGACGGGCGGAAATACGCCAAGGTGGGAACGAGACCATTGAATACAATGGGATTTATATTTTTGAGCGTTTTGTAGAGCGTTGGCCGAGCGTAGAACGGGCTACAAAACGTTCAGGTGTGAACGAGGGCTAACAAGTGACGCACACCTCGGAAAGGAGGTTTTGAAACAGCACCACTCAAAAGGTGCATGTCATTCTTTGCTATACTATTGGGTGTGAATGAGCCCTAAAGATTTTCTATGAATATTTACTACAATGTCTGCCACGACCAATTATGTATATATACAGAGCCAGGCGTTTCCAAAGCATTGTCTGAATCTGTTGCATCACCTGCTTTTTATCAGGCCACTTGCATTCAGCTTTACCCAGCACTGGTTCAAGTGATATTCAAAACCTGGAGCCTATAGCCGTCTGTAGATGGGAGATAATGCTTCAGCCCATGTTCTGTTACATGTAGCTCTGCTCTCTGTGGCGGAGAGCTTCAATGACCCAACATAGAGGTATATAGCATGCCTGTCTGTGGACATTAATGTTTGGAATTAAGTACGGGAGAAGTACGGGATTGGGCCTGGTTCACACCTGGGCGTTTTACAGCGCATTCCTACGCTCTGTAAAACGCTCAACATGTGAAAACCAATGATTGCCTACGGGCATGGTGCCCACCTTGGCATTTTACAGCGCGTAGGAACGCGCTGCAAAACGCCCTACGCCCAAAGAAGTACAGGAGCTTCTTTGGGGCTTATTTGCCGCGCATATCCATTGGGATACAGCCAGGTAGCCCTCGTAAATACGCATATTCGATACGCCTGGGTGTGAACCCAGCCTAACCCTTTTTTGGCCATAGTTCTCTTTAACCCCTTCGTGACTGACGACGTAGAGTGTACGTCGCCAGCATCGGGGCTGTTTAAACAGACTCCCGGCGACTTTTTGCCGCCGGGAGTCTGTTTAAACTTGTAGAGCCGACTGTCGGCTTTACAACAGAAGCGATCCTGGCGACTTACCTGTCGCCAGATCGCTTCTGTGTCCCGAAGAAGGGGCCGCCCCCCCCCCCGGACACCCCCGCCGTGCTTCCCTAGCTCCGTTGCCCCTCCTACGGGCCCGGGACCAGCGATCTTTGTGTCCGCGGGGAGCTGGGGAGGAGGTCGACGAACTTCCGTTCATTGATCCCCCTCCCCGTTCTATGGGACCGGGAGCGATGCAGATTGCATCACTTCCGGTCCCTGGGCTGTCAGTTCTGGGCTCCT